GAAATTCTATTTCTTTATGATTATGGTTGTGTTTATCATTTGTTTATTATTTCCATCTATCGTTTAGTTTATCTATGAATTTTTAGTTGCATTAAAACACTAACTCACCTTCTATATAATCACTTGTATTTTGAGTAAATATATATGTGTATATGATGAAACTGACACCAGCTTCCCTGGCGGTGATGTACGGATACTATTAAAGTAGCAGAAGAATATGTAAATTTATGACTACGTGAAGTTGTACTCTTGTGACATACTCTGTGAATATATACCCTGCTAGAAGCTTCACTGAAAACGAGAGAGAGTCACGAGATAGTTATTGAAATGTATAGTTATTGCTGTATGTCACTCAATATTGTCATTGATATTGAAAGGTATTGTTTAAATATTGTATTTGCTGTATACCCCAATTGTGGATGGGTTTGTATCCGTAGCAGAGAAACTTGTGTTCCCCAATTGTGGATGGGTTACCTAATTGTTAAGGTAAGTAGGGGATTTAAGTGCAGACTCTTTGGGATAAATAAATCCCCTTTATAGCAATCAGGGAAGGATATTTAAAATCTTGAAATATAAATTAAGTGTTCTTTGGGATAAATAAACCCCCTTAATAGCAACCAGGGAAGGATATTTAAAATCTTGAAATATAAATTAAGTGTTCTTTGGGATAAATAAACCCCCTTAATAGCAACCAGGGAAGGATATTTAAAATCTTGAAATATAAATTAAGTGTTCTTTGGGATAAATAAACCCCCTTAATAGCAACCAGGGAAGGATATTTAAAATCTTGAAATATAAATTAAATGTTCTTTGCTCAGTGTGAGCTTATAATAAAGAAATATACTGGTGTTTAAAAACTTGACTATGTGGTAGTTATCACAAATTCACATTGTCAAGATAATTTGTGATTTTGTCACATGTATCAACTGTCAATTTGAATAAAATGTATTAAACATTCTAATTGTAAAGGTAGTAGGAGTATTTGTCATTTTCTCAATGTTAAGATAAAAAGCTTTGTCATACCTTCCCACTGTCAAACTAAAATGATTTGTCATAGCTTCCCTCTGTCAAAATAAAATGATTTGTCATACCATCCCACTGTCAAAATAAAATGATTTGTCATAGCTTCCCTCTGTCAAAATAAAATGATTTGTCATACCATCCCACTGTCAAAATAAAATTGGGTCATATCTTCCCACTGTCAAAATAAAATTGTCATATCTTCACACTGTCAAAATAAAATTGTCATATCTTCACACAGTCAAAATAAAATGATTTGTC